CGCTCCCCTAATACATATAAAAGTATCAAATATTAAAAAATTTAATGACGGTTAGCTTGTTTTTTTAATTGTATTAGATTACAAAATATGAGTGTTGGTATGGATACATGTCTGATTTGATTCTACTCTTATTCTTTTGCTCGTCCGTTACATACTTTGAGATTTTGATGTGACTATTTCTACAATTAGATTTGACATGTCATGCACAACAAGATGCGGTTGTTGAAATATTAAGAACTGAATCAGTATTAAAAAAACAAAATCGGTTATATTGCAGTTTTATTTTTTTTAATTCACAATCTTGATTCTAAAATAAGATATTTATTTTCTTTATTTTTAAAAATACATAATTTTGATTATGAAAATTTTGATTATAGCATTAATTTGATATTAATTTATTATTAAATATTCATATTTAAATGATACGATATTTAGTGACATAATATGTAAAATTAAAATTTTAAAAATATTTATCTATTTTAATGAATAATTAATATTTATTTTATTAATAAATTTTATTTACATATTTGTTTAATTATTAAATATTATATTATTAAATATCACATCATAAAAATTAAAATTTTATAATTTATAGATGTCAATTTTGATGAAAGACCAAAATTTTATATTTCATAAATTAAAAAATTAAATATTTTTATTTTAAAATAAAAAAATCAAAATTTTAAATTATAAAAATAAAAGAACTAAAAATACAATTTATCACTTAATAAATTATAGCACAAACATTTATCAAGAGATGCTTTCAGCGATTTTGAAGTTTTCTAACTCTAACCTAAGTTTCATATATTTTTACCATTAAGAAGAGTGTAAATAAAATATTCTTTAAGATACTATTTTAAATTCTTGAATTGATAACAATATTGGTAAGAAATTTTGAATGGCTATACAATTCTTTGTTTGATATCCATGTTATTCCTGAATTCTTTGTTAATGCTTAAATTTAGCAAAAATTAATTAAAGAATCACAATCCACGAGAGAAAAAAAACTCAAACAATAAAATAGGAATACTCTTGTCTATTTATTTTTTAGGCATTTTTCTGCCTCTTACGGTAACTGTAATTTAGGTTTAAAGTTTATATAGAGGAATAATAAATATATTTTATAAATTTTATTAAAATAGTTTATTATCACATTAAATATATTATTTTTAATTATTATAATTAAATAATTTATGAAGGAGTAAATTAAGAAAAAATAATTAATATTATATTAAAAAATAAGTATATCATCCATTTTAAGATATTTTTTAAATGTTAAAATTGTAATCACGGTAAAATAAAATAGTTAAAATATAATTATATATATAACTGAAAGTTTCAAAAAAGAAAAACAAGAAATCAACATTTAACCAAGAGATGAGGTTCCTTTCTTGGCAAGTCATAGCCGTATATGTCATTTCTGAACCACTGACTGAACAATTCATTTCAGAAAACATTTTAAATTATGTGTGATTTTACACAAATATATAATAAAATTTAACCATCTAACCACATCTTATTATAGCAATAAAGTAAAGTTTTGTTGGATGTGTGCATTAAATATAAATCAAAATCTTAAAAAAGAACTGGAAACATTATTAAAAGAACTAAATTGAATATCTAGTCTCGAAAGAAACTTTACAATCTCAGTTTAGGAGTCCGATAGAATTGAACTATTAAATCAAATCAAGAATCCCAGCCATAATGTAAAATGTTTGAATCAAGAAATCAACATTTAACGATTTATTGAACTCACTTTTATTGACTTGGACACATTTATCATGAATCATGCAAAGAGCATCAAGGCCATCATAAGGAAGTCCACAGTAATTGTCATATCCCAATGATGGAGGCACTGTCATTCCAAAATTACATAATTAGCACACTTTTCTTTGTCCCAAAGACATCATAACAAATTAAAAATAAGCTAAGTTAGAAGAAAGAAAGAAATTAGACTACTAGTAGCTGAAAAGAAGCTTGACTCACATTTTCTGCTGCACTCTATGCTCTGCACATAAAGGGAGAAGGATTAGACTTTTTTTTTGTATGTTAAAATATGAAGTGTTTGGAATTAAAAAGATGAAGCAAGAAGCGAACCATGGAGACATTGATTCCGGGGGTTTCGATTTCAACACTTATGTTGAGGGCAGAAACTGGAATGTTCAAGAAGTTGATGACGAAGGTGCAAGAAATGAAGAGGAGAGCACACTTGGATAACTGAGACGGAATCATTTTTGTGGAAAGGAAAGTGAGACTAGTGGAGGTTTTTGAAGGCTGGTTTTGTATAAAGGCTCTAATTTATATGAAAAGCTACAGAGTGTGAGGGATAAAACTCAGAAATCTGAGGAGTTGGCAGAATCCGGAAATAAAGAACGAAAGATGGGAGGGTTAGTTTTTTAGTCGCTCGTGACTGTAATTTTATCACTATTTCAACTGTTCTTGCTATAATTAGCCGCATTACATTTCATTTTTTTTTCTCAGCTCAGGCATCACTATTGGCATTTCTTAACTCTAGTATAAGAATTTTTGGCTGAAATATTATTTTTTTTATAAAAATACCCAAATAACACCTGTACTAATTTATTTATCCAAGTAGTTAAAACAGAACTCTAAAACGGTCTGTTCTGATTTAAGAACGGCCTGTTCCTAATGCAGAATAGGCCGTTCCAAATGCAAAATTTACACATTCCTTAAACCTAAAAACGCAAAAAAAAAAAAGAAAAAATATATAAAACGCTGCTCAGAATTCGGTTCCTACCGAATTCTGAACATGAACAGTAAACAAGTATACTTGGGTAAATAAGTTGATACAGGTGTTATTTGAGTATTTTTTTTTTAAAAAAATATTATTTTAGTAAAAAATTCCTAGTATAAAAAGACTATTCATTTGAATTATAGAAATTCATTTAAATAAGTTATTTTATTATTATTCAAAAGCACATTTTTTAAATAAATATTGATATAGGAAGTCCTTGCATGGTTTTCTATTATTAATTATTTATTATAATTTTTATCTAACACATAACGTAATTCATTATGTTAATTCATAATTTTAGATATATAATTTGAATACTTTATCATTTGACATATTAAATAATACTAAAAGTATTTAGTGATTACTAATTTTACTATAATAGAGCCTAATAAACAATAAACTAGTGTATCACCAAGTTAGTAGATCAATCATTAATCTCAAATTTTAATTTTAAATATGCAATTACGTTATATTCAAAGAGAAAATTTTGTTCCCATAATAATCCTATCATACGAGTAGAGTACCTCTAGTTGAATATAAACAACAGTGAACTAGTGTGTGAATGAGTTTCATTACCAATCCTCTTTTAGAACTTAAAAACATTGATTGAAACCACTGCCTCATACATTTCCTTTCGATATATATATTTCATTCTAAAAGAATTTTCCTTTGTAAGTATTGGTATTTGGGGGCTTTTGGGGAATTTCTAAAGTGGAAGATGCTCTGACACTTAAAATAAATAAGGTTAAAATCCTTATTTAGTCGCTGATAATATTTTTTTATTTCAATTAAGTCTCACTTTAATTTTTTGTCTCAATTTGGTTTCCAATAATTTAAATTATTGCAATTTGAGACTTCCGTCTAAATGATTTAAACGGAATTAACTGTTGGTCATGTGGATGCCACGTAGATGCATAGGTAGACGCCAAATTGCATGAATACACATGGAACCAGAACAGCCCGTTCTGAAACCAGAACGGACCGTTCTGCTTGCACATGGTATGTGTTAATTTTATAATCGGAACGGGCCGTTCCAAATGCAAATTTCACACATCATGATCAGAATGGGCTGTTCTGAAACCAGAACGGGTCGTTCTGATTTTTAGAACGGGCCGTTCTGGATTCAGAATGCCCCGTTCCAGAAAGTCAACTTCATCCATGCGTTGACCAAAATGCCGCAATGTGATTCAAAAATTGAAAAATAAAAATTCATAACATATCATAAATTCAAAGACAGAAACATGATTCAAAAACTGAAAACAAAAATTCAGAACATAACATATACTAAAAAAGTTCAAAGAAATTACTGAGAAAGGAAATCATCTGGATAATGCTCAAGGGAAAACACCGTTTTGTTTCATCCTTAACTGTATAGTGTCAATTTGGTAGTAAGTGGTTCACTCCAGTTTGACTAACAATGAAATAAAATATGTTGCCATTGTCTTTAATGATACACTGCATTGTCCTTAATGATACACTGTATAGCACAACTGTTTAGCAATTGAAGTTATCAATTTTCATTGACAATATTACCAAATTCAGTGTTTGAAATACTTTGTACTTTGGATTTTTTTTCTTTCACGATTCACAACCGTAAACTATAATGTTTGGTATTCTGGAACCAGAACGGCCCATTCTGAAACCAGAATGGTCCGTTCTGGTTGCACTCTTAGTATGTTAATTTTTCACCTAAAACGGGTTGTTCCGGATGCAAAATTAATACACCAAGAGTGCATTCAGAAAGGCCCGTTCTGGTTTCAAAACAGGCCGTTCTGATTCTAGGTTTTTTCAGAAAATTTGGCATCCACGTAAGCATCTACGTGACATCCACGTGGCCAATAGTTAACTCCGTTTAAATCATTTGAACGGAAGTCCTAAATTGCAATAATTTAAATTATTGGGGACCAAATTGAGACCAAAAATTAAAATGAGACTAAATTAAAACAAAAAAATGTTATCAGGAATCAAATAAGGGTTTTAACCAATAAATAATTATAACCATTGAATAAAAATTATGGTTAAACTCATAGAATATGATTTAAATGCTCTGACACTAAAAAATTTCTACATCATCATCTAATCATGAATTATGTATGATAAGAACATTAACTTATACAATAATTACTTGTACATTTCACCTTCTGAAATACATCTCTTGTTTATGGGAATCAAATATGAAGTAACGTGAGTTTATTCCACCCATTAAATAAATGTAGAGAACAAGACATGATGAACTACAATGAGATTGACAGTTGAGAACGAATGAGATTTGTATTATAAGATTTTTTTTTTATTAACAGAAAAAAGTACAGATGATGATCGAATCTAAGATTGTCCGCAAGGATTGAACCTAAGATTGCAATCAGGGTGGCACCCTAAGATTACAAGTGTATAAGAATAATGAAATAGGAGTATTTTGAAGATTGAACCTAAGATTACAGGTAAGATTGCTATTACAAGAATGATGAAGTAGGGGTATTAACGGCAAAAATGCTGTTTATAATACACGTGCACAATCACCAGATTCACATATTAAAACTGCTGACTCATTGCTTATCTGGCTTGCTAACTCGGGCTGAACCTTGAGATATTCTTTCCTGACAAATGATGCAGCTTCAGATGCAAGATGAGCCTCCACAAATGCAAGGCAACACCCTCTAAACCCAGCACCACTGAAGCGCGCTCCAAATACACCGGGAGCCCTCACAAGGATCTCATACAATTGAATCAGTGGTTCAGAACCTAGGGAGACACATCATTTCACATGATCAACAATAGTTACTCTAACATCAAATCGTCTAAGGAAAACGTGTAAGCTTCATGTCTTATAAATGTTAGAAGATACGTATAATGAAAACCAAAACAAAACCATGCTCAATACAATAGAAACTTAAGGCTTTGGTTTAGTTAAATAGGGCAGTCCTGTGCTAAAAAAAACTACTGCAATGTGCAGGCTCCAGATAAATTTAAGTGAAACATTTTAACTAGTTTAAATTAATACAGTAAAAGGTTAAAATAGTTGACTTTATCAAATTCATCCGAAGCTCGAACATGGTGAGATCTTTCTAACACAATACTGTTCTATCATTGTAGTACAGTGATAGTATAGTTAATGTTCTGTTTTAAAAGAATATAAGAAAAATGTGAGAGTAACAAAATTGAGAATGTTAATATAGATGTGGAGTCATACAAGAAAAGACGGGATATGAAATAGTTATATATAAGGAAATATTGTGTGGCACCAGTTGGGGAAAAGATGGCAAAAAAATTGGTTAAAGTGATTTGGATACATGCAAAGAAGGTCACTAGAAGCTTCGATGGAGTAAAAGAAGACCAAGAAAAGCCTAAGAGGAAATTATCAAGAGGAATCTCATGGCAATCCAGGCAGTCGATTCTAGCCCCTAATATGTTAGAAACTCTCCATTAGTCCTTAATTTTGCAAAAATTCATCGATTCTAGTCCCTTTCTACTTTATTTCTATTATTATCATTTCGTAGTTGTACACAAAAAAGACTAAAGTAAATAACATTTTGAAAAGTCAGGGACTTGGTGTTATTAAAATCTTTATAACTAAGATGCCCATTCCATACAATTTCGAAGACTAATCTAAGGGTTAACTTGAATTTTGCATTTTCATGGAAGGGATAAATCCAAGAAGGACAAAAAAATAAATAAAAATAATATATATATATATATATATATATATATATATATATGTCAACTCAAACTCTGTTGTTTAAGAACTATATTATACACAACCATCAGGAAAGCTTAAAACCTGCATGACTAGCAGTGGTAGAAGACCTTTTACCAAGAATACTCCACTTATGAAGCAAGCAATTATTTTGTTCTACAAAGCTAATACACATCACCGGCCATATGATTGTTGTCCCCTAAGCCCACCCTCGAACTATGACGATTTAATGTATAACCTTTTTATCCTCCAACTACCACCAATATTGCACATAAATTGTGATTTAAATCAAAGCTGGTGAAAAATTATTCAACATGTTTTTATTAAGTTGTAGGATTCTTCTTAATATTTCACCTAAACTTCATCTTGGTCTTTTGTTTATCAATAAAATCCAGATATACTGCGAATGATGAGACACCAAAAACCTCACTCTAATGTTTGAGGTCAGGTATAATTTAATTTGGAGAACTAGAATAGAAAATAAAATATATTGCTCAGCAGAGTAGTGAACAACAATATTTGAGTAAAATGTGATAGTATTTTCCAGGCTCAAATTTTATTTTTTTGCATAATTTTTCAGGGCTATTTACTTAAAGAAAGATGAAAAAAACTGCACAAGAAAAATGTTTTTCCACCCTATTTTGATTTCATGTATTTAATGTCACTTTCAACTTTGAAGAACGAGAAGATGGAATTTCAAAACATTCCAATAATGAATTTGGGGTTTAGGTTATACCACATTCATAATTTTGAATGGAACTTCGACCAGAATCCGTTATAAGCATTCCGAAATCTTTTAACTTGCCCATTGCCCAAGCCTCAACTCCTGGGTTAAAAATTAAATAATTTACATTATAGCACAGAAGGTTAAACGAGCAGGGCATAAACCCCAAGTTGAGATTTATCAAAGCCATTCAACTGATTATACCTTTCATAACACGCATATTCTCTGAGAAGTAATGTTCTGCTCTTTTGGCTAGATTGGCTTCTAATTTGTGCTGCACCAACAAAATGGTAAGACTACTTGATTATGCTAAAATAATAGCTGGGATTCTAATTGTACATATGACACATACGAAAGAAGCATTAAACATCAGTAAAATAAGCTGGAACAAGTAAGCGGATTTGACTAGCATAGAAAGGAAATCTATAATATTTTTTTACGAATGTCATACGACATGCATAATTTTATCCACATTTTGAACTTTCAAAATACCAAGATTAAGATGCACTGAGAGCCATTAAACTTTTGCGTATGGAATGGGCCATTGCTATCTTGGAATTTCAAAGCCTGTTTTGAGCTCAAGTTAGACTCAAAATATTTAAACATAGAATACTTCCCAAATACAATTGTTATTATGTTGTCTGTACTCCGGAGGAATTCCAATTTAGTGATTAATGAATTTCACATATCCAACCAACACACATTTTTGACAAATCCAGTGACGACTGTGTAAAACAAAAATAAATTCTATCAAGCTGATTTTATTTCATTAAACCACATTTGATCTTTATTAGCCCATAAAATATATTACTCTGAATCTCAACTAACCTCAATTATTTGGAACTTCAGAAGACATTCTTTCTATGGAAGTAATAATATAAGCCCATTCAATTTTGTTTATATGCTTATGCATCTCCGTTTCCAACATCAACGATGGTTTTCCAGAACTTCAGTATCTTTCCAATTGACGAATTTTTCTATATTAGTGCATGAAAAGAAAACTGTTTAAGTACATTCATTACTTTTATTTAGTTATACAATTTTCAAAATCGCATTCCAAGAACAAAAAAACCTATTTATTTAGCTAAACATTTCATGTTTGTTAAACACTTTTGTCAGCACCCAAAGTATAAATCATGCATTATATCACAAATTAACCAGGAGAGGGAAAAATCTGTTTACTTATCGATTTAACAGTCAATTCTTTATACCTTGTGGGCCTCGTATACTTCTGGTTCAACTGCACAGAGGAAAAGACAAAAAATAACTTAGATCAGTTAGCTATTTGATAAAAGATGTAGCTAGATTCACGTGAGAAGGCAAGATACTGGCCATTAGATAGGATAGGCTCTGCTTTGTAATCTCCAGATGCTCTGCAGAATGAATAAAAAAAATTATATAAACTTCCTGACCGTTGATTATCTCACCAAATTCATATACATCAATCTAATTGTAAATTGGTTTCAAAGAGACCAAAACCTTGATCATAGGAAACTATATGGACCTATATTTTTGGTCTGGGGTGGGGGGGAAGGGGTGTGTAAAGGGCCGAAAGCCTAGGTGAGTAAAAAATATAAGGACAAAATTAAAACTCTAGTTGACTTGCATAAAAAAATTGTTCGAGCATTACTCATTTATTTAAATGAGTCAAATTTAAAGTTTAGGTTTAGCTTGTTTGAAAATATCAAGCCCAACTTGTTTATAATTATTTTCCTTTTCTTTATCACATATCTTCTTGAAATATTAATCACAATAATAGCTAACTAGAACTTCTAGCTAATTTCTTATATGTCAATACAGTTCTTATTGCAATTAAAATTCCCATCATTAATCTTTTAATAAACTAAGAAAAAGTGACTCAGCACATCTAAGGTTGTCAATCTCATGAGTTTACATAATCTCGTTGAGATCTTATAAATTCGAATTGTAAACTCGTAAGAGCTTACTTAATATAAAAAATATGTTATAATACTTATAAATAACATAATAAATCAATATTTTAACTCCATATTAAAGTAAAATAATAAATTAGAAAATTAAAGTAACAATGTTTAGTAGTAAATTATGCAAAATTTCACAAAATACAAGTTCTTAAAATAATAAATAAAAAATTAAGAAAAGACTTTTAATAACAAAAGGGGCCAGATTATTTAAGATTGTTCAAAAGCGAGTTTATTTTCAAATTATATAGGAGAGGCTGAACATTCTCATAAACTAGATAGTTATTACGAGTTATCACTCGAAATTGATTACCATGAGTTCGTAGGCTTCCAACCTAATGGGGTTTGGGTAAGGTAAAAAGTAGGCAGCATTGCCCCCACAAAGAGTCTGTTTCTAGGTTTTGAACCTGTGACCTCCAGGTCACAACGCAGCAAGCAACCTTTTCATTGTGCCGATGTCGATGCTCACCTTCATCTTATAATAAACTAAGAGTTAATCATCTATACATTGTCAGTGTAAAATTTTTTTACACTAGCAACCAATTATATCTAAACTTTACACTGACATGACACAATTAAAAGATATAATTAGTTGTTAGTGTAAAAAAATTTTACACTGACAGTGTATAGGTGATTAACTCATAAACTAAACTGATGCAAGTTTTGACAATATCAAAAATTGATTCGTGAGAGATTAAATTGAGACTAGCGAGGAGTAAAACGTATTTTATCCATTTTAGTAATTAACTGCATCCATCCTCTAGCTCAGTTTGTTGGCGCCCTTTTGTAAGTGTAAAGTTAACATAGGGCAACTCCTGAGACAATAAAATTCAGAAATGTCTTCCATATTTTGCAACCAACGTAAAATAAAAACATGTCCTCACTTAAAAATATATATATATATATATATATAATATAAATGAAAACAGTTATAAATCTTCGAGAGAAGAAAAAAGAAAAACTTACTCAAGAAGAATTTGTGCAGCCTCTCGACACTCTGCAACTCGCTTGTTATACCCGGGGTTACTTGTCAAAGCTTGCTTCAACCCCGAAAGTGCCAACAATATTCTGGTTGCTTTCGGTTGTTCACTCTCTTTGTATTCTAGAACCTTTGGTCGGTAAACAAGCTTATAATCTTTGGTCTGCATGTGCCAAACTAACACATGAAATAGAAGAATGACAATGATAACAGTGGCAACAATGTTACATATGAGTAAAATGCATTATTTTTACAGGAAAATTTACAGTATCTGACATTAGAAATTAGAAATTCAAAACAAGTGATCCAACCAAAGAAGCCACATATACAAGAAATAAGAAAAAAAAATGAGAAGAATCAAGCCTTTCTTTTTTATGATGACGGCAATAAGTTTAAAATTTAATATTTTGTACATAGTACTCAAACCCCTCTCCACTGGGCTACCCCGGTGGATTTTGAAGAAATCAAGCCTGCTGCAGGCTTTTATGCTATGAATATGATTGTTAAAATTAAAGGGGATGAGGTAGGGACACAAGAAGAGAGAAAAAGAGACTCTGAATAATATTTGCCATGCGTATAAAATACAAAGTATAGGGAAGACAATTAATTACAAATAATGGGGTTAATTGATAACTATGCCAAATATTTAATTGTATTAGTTACGCTAACATATCCCCCTACCTCAAATAGGTTGGAGAGAACAAACTTGAGTTTGGAAACCAATGTATGGAAATGCATTGAGTCAAAATTACCAACTTTCACCACTTAAATAAGTGGCTAGGGTTCAAATTCCGGCCCTTGTATATGTAGAAATCTCAAGTTAGGAAGAAATGTTCACTTATTTGGTGTCTGTTAAACTCCTTAGTAATGAACCAAATAATGCACGGGATCAAATTTGGCTGAAGGCAGATAGGGGAAATGACATTTGGGATCAGGGTGACGGAGGACAACTATATATGAGGTTGGACATGAGGACAAACTACATTTGGGATAGGAGATAGAGCAAGACTGCATCTAGGATCAAGCCAACCTATGGAAAGACAGACTGGAATGAAGTTAATATGTGAAAAGACTGGTTAAAATGAATCCAGTGTGTGAAATGATAGGTTGAACAAAACCAACATGTTGAGAAACAAACTAAAAACAGAGCCAATTTGCATAAAGAGAAGCTAGAACAGAACCAGAAAAACAAATTGAGAACAAAATCTATCTGCAAAAAAGAAATTGAGCCAATCTGCAAAATAGGACTGACCCTACATATCGTTAGGCCTAAAGCAAATCTTAAAGTCAGGTTTTTTTAAAATTAATAATAATATCTTGATAAAAAAAATAAAAATGGTTTAGAGTTGGGCCATGAAAAAAATAATTATATTTGTATATCTTTTAAAGATTGACCTTTTAAAGTGAGCTTTTAAGAATACAAGAAGTGATTTTAAGTTATGAACCTTGAAAAAATTATACAAATATTAATGCAAAATATTTTTTTTTTGAAAGAGACCTAAAGTAAGGATTCATCTGCCTCATGCATGGGTTGCCCTGCTGCAAAAGAAAGCTAAAAACATACAAGGATGTGCAACAAAACAAAAGCTTGAGACCAAAAACTCAATATCGGAAAAGTCGCCAAGGAAAGATCAGAACAAAAACGCATCAGTATGGGTTTGATGATAATCAAGTTCCATGAAATCAACACAGTGGAAGCGTGACACTATTCTCAAGGTGATTCCATATTTTCTAATAATATGTCGAAATTACTAATGGTATAATTACTCAAGAAAGATGTGGAAATTATATTATATTATTTTATTAATTAATTATTGGTATAATTGATTATAATTTGAATGAATTTTTGTTGCTAAAAATTGATTGAGATATTTAGTTTTATTTAGATATCACAAAAAAACAGCTTTTATGTAATAAACTAATTTCAGGAGATAAAAACTATTGGAAAATAATTATAAGGCTTAAATATATTTTTAGTCCTTTAAATTTAGGATAAATTTATTTTTGGTCTCTTAAATTTAAAATTGTTATTTTTAGTCCCTGTAATTTAAAAAAAAATCTTATTTTAATCTTTATATTCAAATTTTGTTAAAAAAATTTCTCAAACATTATTGTATAAAATCTACCTATTGGTGTTTTTGTTAGTGAAAACATCACATTAAAACCAATTGATATTGCATAATCATCTTAATTTGTCACTTTTAGATATGTTATTGGTGATCTGAAGGACTAAAACAAGATTTTTAAAAATTATAAGGACTAAAAACCACAGTTTTAAATTTGAGGGACCAAAAACAAATTTATCATAAATTTGAGGGACTAAAAATATATTTAAGCCTCATTATAATCTTCAAATTTTTAGATTCATGAAAACAACTTATTTTTCAAAAATAAAATTGTTTACAAATTTAAATTATTGTCCCAAACAATCAACTTATTTCACAAACAACTTTCACAAAAAATAAATAAAAAGTTGAAAATTGGAGGAAAAAAAATCATTCAGAAACACACTCTTAGAGTAAAGGAGGGAAGGAAAAAGATAGAATAGAATTGCATTCTGTAGACAATTAATTATAAATAACAATGTTTCTTATGCTAAATATTTTATTGCATTAATTACGGTAAAATTGGTAAAATATAAATATAAGATAGATTCAAAGGAATTCCATGTGTGACTAATACTATGGTCTATAAATAGGATTTTGGTAAATGATATCTTCGGCAATTTATTTCTAGGGGGAAGGGTGAGGAGGTGAGCCACTCTACTCTAGTTTCCTTGTATATTTTACAAAGACCTACCCTGTTCAATTGCTTTTCACACATATACTCCCTCGTTACCGCCCTCCATGAAGGTGAAAAGATGCATAAACATACACACGGGCATAAAATGTTTAAGTGGTAAAAGGGCACATGGTCAACATGCCAGATACTAAATCTGATCCTGTAACCAATGTATATGCATCAAATAATAAAAATACATTAAGAATTTGTGGCAACAACACATTAATCCAGGTATTACCTTGCAATTCATGCACATCAAACAATCATGGCTTGAAAGTAATATAGCTGATTGGTCCATTATGCCATTTTTCAGACCCAAATATTCATTCTCAATCAACCTATAATGAGAAAAGTAACATTTTAAGAGGGATGGCCTAACACTTAAGAAATGAATGGAAGTATATCTGTAATCACAATGACTAAAAGGTTGTTTAATTCCTTTTAAACTTTGGTGGCAACTGAAGTTTCCAACTTTGATGATAACAATTTAAAAGCATTTTAATTTACAACATAGTGCGAATAAATAGCTTGCAAAGAGGAGTAACAAGAGTGTGAGAAGCAGAGACTTGAAGAAAAATATTGCCCTTTTTAACAAACAAAAGCTAATTTATACTCCCTTTGAACCTATATAAAAGCAAAACATACTTAAATTTTTTGGACAAAAATATAAGCAAATTTCATTGAAATCTTTATTTAATGTTCTTAATCCAAAAATTACCCTACGATAACAAATGAGAGCACTATTTACCACGAATATGATTAAGGATATTTAAGAAATGTGATATATATTTTATGTGAAATAGTGAAAATTAATCTTTGTGAAATTGGTTCTATTTGCTTTTATATATAAGTCTAGAGGGAATATCAAGGTAGTTAAAGTCGAGGTGTTAGGGGTTTTAATGCCTCGATCTGAAAAGGGCCAAAGCCTTGCTAAAAGAAATATGTTGACGATAACATTCAAGGAAGAAAATAACGACTATCAAAATATTTGACTATTTCACATTGATTTTCCATATAAATTAATTTCTGAGACATGATGTTCAAAGTAAAATTAAAAAGGTTCTGTTAATGAGTGCACTAAGTACATTGGTTGAGGAGCATTTAGTATACCTTATCAAACGCTTTCAATTTCTTAAAAAGAAAAATGTGGTGCATTTGACCGCACTGCTTCATACCCATGGTTCAAGAAGAATGTATTTACTTTCTCCAAGGACTGGAATAGGCTTACCTGTCATATTCAATATTTTCTGTGGGAGATATTACTAAATCATTTGCATATTCCAAAGCCAAGAGGTAAGCAACTCCAACCTGCCAAACAATGAAAGTTGAAATCCCTCGAGAAAATCAGAAGACATGAGCTGTTGCAAACAGGGATCTACCATGTTGTTTTTCAAAAGAAACAAAAATGAGCAGCTTATTAAAAACAACAAAATAATTGCGCATAGGGTTGTAATAATACATATTAACATTATTTGGAGAGTGGAATAACTATGGATGCACAAAGGAAAGCATATAACATTGACAACCTAAATTGTTCTCTCCTGTACCAGTTCATCTTCTGCTTCAAGCTACCAATATACCCAACCCATGCTCAAAAGTAAATTTTGCTCAAAAAGCTAAACTAGCTAAATCTTCTTTTGATGAATTTCATTTCAATTTTCATTACAAGGCCCTTTGATTCATACTCCTCATAATTTTAGAAACCAAATTAAATAAAGAGAAAGCAGACGGGGATAAATCACTATCTTACTGCAGCAGAAGAGCTTAAGCCCGAGCTGTCCAGACCTTCAGCACCACGTATGTATCCTACAATACCCTGTAAACAATACAATTAGGATGGGTGGGAACGTATATTGAAATGATCGGAATAAATTGCATGCAGTGATCTTCATTGCACCAAAACCATAAACACAACATAACTAGTTTCTTATTTACTGGCCATGAGGCTGGAGAACAGATATTTAGAGTGGCACTTGCACCCATATAATATTTACATGAGAACCTGTCCTAAACAGAATCAAACCGACAGAATTAAGTTCCATTTTATTTTCTAGTAAATCAAATGTCATCATCAATAACCTCACTTGAAGAACAATAAAAAAATTGAAGGTTTTATTGACATTTACCCTTAGGACTAATTTTAAACAACTAAATGTGGAAGGATTTTATTGGGAAATAAAGTATTTGTTTCATCAAAAATACAAATGTTGTGAGACATTAACCCTTAGGACTAATTTTAAACAACAAAATGTAGCCAGATTTTATTGGGAGAGAAAGTATTTATTACATCAAAAAAAATACAAAAGTTGTGAGGCATTTGAATGGCTCTCTTAATTGTTTCAAGGCTCGGTTAGTTGCTTTAGGCAACAAACGAGAAGATGATGTGGATTATGATGAGACATTTTCACTTATGGCTAAAATCACTACTATTAGAATTGTCATTTCTATCATAGCTTCTAGATACCGGTCACTCCATCAAATGAATGTGAAGAATGTCTTTCTAGTAAATCAAATGTCATCATCAATAACCTCACTTGAAGAACAATAAAAAAATTAAAATCACTACTATTAGATGATGTGGATTATGATGAGACATTTTCACTTATGGCTAAAATCACTACTTTTAGAATTGTCATTTCTATCATAGCTTCTAGATACCGGTCACTCCATCAAATGAATGTGAAGAATGTCTTTCTTCATGATGACTTGACATGAGAGAATTATATAACCCTCCCCCCCATCCAAGTTTGTTCTCCTCTTCTGCATGTGTGTAGAAGAGGAGAATAAACTTGGATTGTGGCAAATCCCTAAGCACAATTTGAGAAAATTCGGACTCCTATTCTTGGATTCTCGATTACTCAATTAATATGACTCCTGTTTTCATTCACCACACGACAACAAACATTAATCTTATTTATGTGGATTATATGGTCATAATGGGATCCAAAACAACATAAATAGTAGTTGTAAGCTTCCTTTCATATGAAGGACCTTGATTATTTTCATTACTTCTTGGGTCTTTAGGTCCATTGTAACTCCACAGATATTGTTCTCAATCAACACAAATATATTGTATTAATTAGGAATAGAATCATCTTATTTATTATTTAGCTAATTTAGGTTGTACAAAATAGGGATTACAATTTACTTATCATTAAAAGTTGTAAATGATTTGTACTATTTATAGAAGAGAAGATAATCAAAGAGAGCATCATACCAAAATATCTTGGCTCATGATTTTTAGCCTTGTGAAAAGAAGTAGAGGATGACCAAGAAGAAGATTAGAGAAAATTATTAAAATAGATCTCATGGTGAATAACATCCAAAATAATTTTAGTGTTGTGTGGATCCATGTAACCTACCTCACCTAATGAGATAAGGTTATTGTAGTTGCATAATTCAGTTGGCCCATATACTCAGTGCACCAACTTCTGAGTATTGTGATATGTTCACATGCCATCATTTAAAATAGAAGAGGCAACCTCACACCAAAAATGCAAATTGTATCCTCCATAATTAAACCATAAGTTTCTAAGGCTCTGCTAGCAAATATAAGCATTATATTTGTTCCCTTGAAAATGCAAATATCTCTACAAGTCAAAGTCAATATTCAGGAATATGACAACCATAGTAATCAACTTCAAAACATATAACTAGTGAGGATGATATCATACTGGCATATCCAAAGTTTCACAACTGAACTGATTGTAAATACAAACATAGAAATTTAAAATTATAAGCACAGTAAAATAAAATAATTATGAAAAAATCAGTTCTGTTTGATTTGCTAATTGATTTTAGTATTTCACAAAAAGAAAAAGAAAGAAAGAAAGAAAGAAAAAAAAAAACTCAGGGAAGTTGAAAATAACATCTTACTACTCGGGTTCATACTAAAGATAATTTAGGCATAGTTAAGCCTTTTAGAGAAAAACTTTTAGGCCCCAAGTAAACTACACAGCAGAGCCTAAATATTTAATTTAAAAGTTGTCTTATCCCATCATTCTCAGTATAAAAGTGAAAGTGCAGGTTAAACTATACTATCATGCAGAGCTGCTATATCCATTTGATATATATAGCACAAACTCGGCATAGAACAGAAAGGAGAACCTTGATGACATTGTATCTGACCTTAGAAAGATTGTTTCCTCTACTCTGTAGTGCATATACAGCTCCTCTTGCATAGCACCCCCAGTTACATTGTTCCTGTATCTCAGAAGAAACTTTATCCAAACTCTTGTCTTTTATCTTACTGATTTGTTTTGGCTGTTGAATCTCGTCAACTCTATCAAATATCAATCACTTTATAACTCAACATTGGGTAAATTATATAATGTTCTCAATGAAAAAAATATTATGTAATAAAAACAATAGTAATCCAAGATCAGAATGACAGTAGAAATGCATGTAATAGCTCAATAAGCACCGGCCCTAAATCTTGAAAATTTGGGTGTGATGATGACGTTGGAGGTTTGATCCTCCAACAGGCTAGCTATCCCCACCCCCTACTTGGCTGCTCGCACCTACTATGTAATTGAAATAAAAAAATAAAGAATATAAGTCAAAATCATATACCAATCACTGCTTAGAGAGTCCATCAATGAGCCATATACGTAATGATAGTGAATCTTTACATCATTTGTCAATTAGTAAGAGTTAGCAATTATATTTCATCTTCATTAAACATTATGTAGCATGTCTTGTAATCCTAATGATTTTCTCAGAGGTAGCACACCTCTAAATTAATGCATCTGGCAAACATTCACCCAGGAAGATTTCATAAGAAATGGAGAAGAACTTACTGAAAAAATAAATAAATAAGAAACAGCAAGCCTTATAATCACTGACCACAGACCTGAACTTAACTTCTCCCTGAAACTGTCCAGAATGAATTACAACCTAAAAGAAAAGTTCCAGGGTCATTCATCAAACAAATGAAAGCATCATGAATAACAACCCTGTGAGTGTTGGGAACAGCGTATCAAGTGAAAGCATGAACGAAGTTAATTTTGACTTTACAACCATACAGCTGCTTAGCTGCTTAGCTGCTGCTAATTGAACAAAGGAAATTTCCAGATGTTTTCTAGTATATTTTTAAGATTACAGATCGAGAACAGGATCAAATTTTACCTGATTACTGCCTGAAAGAGCAAACCCCAAAAGTATTCCCCGATCGAGAGTCATAGCTGAAACGGTTCCACCCTTCAAATACCAAAGCAAATTACAAGAGAACTCATTCAAACTTCAAATGAAATTTTTTAGAATATTGGCCAGCAATTGAGCGGGTGAAATTTATCTGCCCAGCACCACTGTTCTAGTTCTAGTACATATTGCTCAAGATCAATCATTGAGTTTCATTTGCATTAACATAACAGAAAGATCTATAAAAATACCTGATGATCTATGTGTGCCCCCAAAGGACAAATTCGATAGGGAGATACCACAACTCGAACTTCCTCTTTATTCACATTTGCCATTTTGGAAACCCTCTCTTTCATTTCATCTAGCTGCTGATTACATACATGTAGATTAATCAGAGAGTATCAAATGGTATTGGAAGATGAATAGTTGATCAAAGGCAATTATTCCTCCACTCACTTTTCAGGTTCTCTTAATATTTTTTTCAGTTATTTTCCACTTCTATTTTAACATTCCATTCCTCAATTTCAAAAGGCTTAAAAATTTCAACAATGAAAAGTATCAGCAAAGTCACATCATGAATTAAATAAGTGGCTAGAACAATACAGTCACGCTTAACATTATCCGAGGTTGAGCCACAATAAAGACGTTTCACCAGAAATTCCTTGCTCACGATCAATCAATTCAATTACTAGAATACTATCCAAAACCTTTCGTAGTTTATCTTTCAGGCCATCACAAAGTAACACCGACGCAAACAATCTTGCCTTCTAGAGCAAGCTAAATGCGAAAATGATGTGCAGCTACCGATCCCTATCCAACTAAAGTATTATTGGGGGAAAAATGACAGACAAGCACGTTATATTATTATCAACAATTTTTCGAGAATCAATAATAATTTTCAAACATTGAATGATCTCCATCACGAATATTTTACCGAATTTTCAACAAAAAAAATAATAATTATCAGAATTGTTTGATTTGAAAGCTTGACGACAAACTTAATGTGAAAAAAAAAAAAAAAAAAAGATGCGTACGACGCAAATATCAGTTTCCAGCAATAAGCGCCAATTGCAAACAAATAGATGCAGGTACGAAACACAGAGTTCAGTGAACAAACAGTTTCAGATCGTAGAAATAGAATACAGAACCGCGAATAAAATCGAAACAACAATGTCACCGACAAACTCGTGTGGAAAAAAAAATATGCGTACGACGCAAATATCAGCTTCCAGCAATAAACGCCAATAGCAAACTAATAGATGCAGGTACGAAACACAGAGTTCATTGAACAAACAGTTTCAGATCGTGGAAATATAATACAGAACCGCGAATAAAATCGAAACAACAATGTGACGCACAAACTTATGTGGAAAAAAAAAAATGTGTATGAGGCAAATATCAACTTCCAGCAATAAACGCCAATTGCAAACTAATCGATGCAGGTAGGAAACACATAGTTCATTTAACAAGCAGATTCAGATCGTAGAAATAGAATACAAAAACGGCGAATGAAATCAAAACGGCAATGTCAAAAAACGAAGACGAATTTAACGAGAGTATATACATAAACACAAATCACGTACCTCTGCATCAGAAGGCCAGCACTGACTTGCCATCTCCGCAACTGTGAGGGAAAATTCAGAAAGGCAGAGAGGATATACAGAACCAACCGAGGCACATGCAGCGTTGTTTGGGATAGAAATGATTAATGAAGCGGTGCACTATGGCTCACTATAATATATAAGATGAAAATGATCAACGGTTTGAATCCAACGGCTTTGGATCATTTATTTATCTATACCCTGTTAATAAAGAGATTACGCATTTATGCGTACATTTCTTTTTTGGACAATTTTATTTATCTACTCAAGTTTTTTTTTTCTTCCATTTTTTTTAAATTACCTTTACAATTACAGTATAGCAGCAAAATAAAAACACTTCCTCTCTTTAATAAATAAAAGGTAAAAATACCGTTAAAATGTGTATAAAAAATATTGTATTACCTTTATATATTACTAGTAGAGAAAAAAAATTTCGTGTTTTTTGTGAAAAAAAAAATAGTGTTTTCGAGAAAAATAATGGATTTTATAAATTAGTGAAAAATAAATAAAATATAATATAAGAATATAATTATTATTTTTAAAAAAAAAAGTGGATATTAAAAGAGAACATTACTTTTATATATTATTGTAGATTATATATTATTATAAATTATAAATTTATTCAAAAAATTATTATTATTAGTTTGTTTTATTTTTGTATTTTTAAGCACGAATTAATAATTTTAATCTATATCTATAATTCTTCTATACAAACAAGTTTGATGTATTAAGGGCCAAGATCTTGCAGTTTAGAAAAACAACAGGAGATGATCAAAATCTACCTATAAAATGCAATTATTTGAGTTGTCGAGTAGCACGCAGAGAGTATGGAACTATGGAGTATGGATGGGGTTGTACAATCTTCTTTCGGTAGGAGAAATTATTAAAGAGTATAATATTATTATGATGTTGACTAATTTTGCACTTTTTATTAATTTTTTTTATTTAAATGTCTTGATTATATACTCTTTTCACTCCATATTTTTTAAGAATTTTGATATTTTAGACATGTAAAATAATATTAATTACTTTTTTACATATATTTATATTTAATGATTGTTATTTTTACTTCATAATTGATAAAATTATTTTTTATGAGGTGTGTAGAAACCTTACTCGTAAAAAATTATAGACTAAAATAAGTAGTATGTAAAGATAAAAGTGTTAATCTTTATTTGAGGAATGATAGCAACACTTATTACAATTATTTTCTTGTTAATACATTCTTTTTACTATTAGTTGAAAAATCATAAAATTTAGTAAATTGTGATATTTAATTAGGAGAGACTCGTACAGATTGTATTTTTTTAAGTAACTAATGAAAATAAGGGATTGTTAGAGAGAATAAATTATTAGATAATCATGGATGTTCATGGTTCAATTAATAGTTACATAACATGTATTAAAGTTTTTTAACTTCCGAAGACTATCATTTTCTTCCTCTGGCAATTGGCGCATGAAGTGGTTCCTACAAGAAATTTTCTACTCCAACATGTTAAGGGACTTTGAGGATGTACATCATCTCTTTTGGGAGTGTCGGGTTACGACAGGTTGTGGAAAATAAACCAAGTAAAATAAACCAATTATTATTGGTGGAGAAGGCACTAAGTATAATGCTCATTGCACTAGTGTGGCTGAGAAGAATGCTTGAAGTAATGCATCAGAAGCAAGATAATCCCACAGTGATATTTTGTGATAACAAGTCAGCAATTGCAATATGCAAAAATCCTGTATTTCATGAACGGTCTAAGCACATAGATATTCGGTTTCATAAAATCCGAGAACTGGTAACTGAGAAAGAAGTGTTGATAAACTACTGTCACACTGAAGAACAAATTGCGGATATTTTTACAAAGCCATTAAAAGCTGAATTATTCTATAAGTTAAAGAAAATGCTTGGAATGACAAAAATCTGATAAACTTGGTTTAAGGGAGGCAATGTGGAAAATAAACCAAGTAAAATAAACCAATTATTATTGGTGGAGAAGGCACTAAGTATAATGCTCATTGCACTAAGTATAATGATCAGTGCACTAAGAATAATGCTCATTATTTTATTAGCACTAAGGTTGCACGTTGAATGACCACTAAACGTTGTCTTGTTTTTTGTTTAATATTTTATTGTGAACCTTGGCCTATAAAAGGCCTAATGTATTCGTAGGAAGTGTGCAGCAGAATCAAAACAATTCTTCCTTCTTCTTTCAATTTGAGTAGAACAATATTTATTTTACTTGTGAGCATCATGAGTTTCTGATATCACAGGTGTTTGGTGCCTTTTGAATATAGAGGTAGTCCAACCAATCAGAGATGGTATGTCGTGGCTAAATTGGCTATTTGGGATCGTACGTAGTTCAAGTGGGTAGGTTGCTTCTGTTACTTCATGGGAGATATGGAAGACTCATGATGAAATGGTGTTTTAGGGAAAACAGATGACCTGTCAACAGATTGTGGCTCACATTCGAAGCTCTATGGAGGACATATTCATATTAACATCTCCGGTGGGGTTGCTGCCACATCATTATCATATCAATCCTGATCCACTTTTTGGATTATTTAATTTTTAGTAAAATTGTTTGTAAAAATAACTTTGTTAAAATTTAAGTAACCCATAAAGTAAATTAGAACTGATGTAACAATGACGTGGCACATAAGCAACTCCTGCTCAAAATGTTCTTAATAACCAACGCTGGGTGAAATGTATGCTTGCATCACCATATCAGGTATTTATACCAAGATTGGCAGGATTTGGTGGTCTTGTGCGGGACTCAAAAGGCAGGGATTAAAATCCTCTGTCTCAAACCCCTGTCCCCAAATCCTGTCCCTCCAATCATAAAATGCCATCTCAATTAAATTGTCACGTCATTGCAGTTATTTTTTATTTTTATTTTTAAAAAGTGTAACCAAATTTTGCTCCCAGAAGTTCAACAACCCGTCGGAGGAACCGCAGTATACCACCGCCGCTGAACGGTTCACCCCCAGCACCGTCACGGCGTTCTCTTGCTTCAACAAAACACGATCGAACACGTGCTTCAGCTTCTCGCCATTCTCCTCGATTTTCCTCCTCCACATCTTCATCGTCCCGTCCGCGGAACCCGTCAACACGATACCCTTGAACGCCGCCACCACCGCGTTCACAGCGTCTTCGTTTGGGTTAGGGAATGATGCCG